ATTTATTTATTTGTATTAAGGTATGTGTTAATAAGTATTATGTCTTAGGCTTTACGAATATGATTTTATTGACTCCTCATTGCCATTCTATGAGATGGTTTGTATTATTAGTTACATTTTTGTGAAAAAGGAACCCAGGCAGAGAGCTAGTGAATTAGGAAGCGGTGGAGCAATCCGACTGCTTCCCAAGCCCATACTCTTTCTACTCTTCCTAACAGTGCTGCATGGGAAGCCATTTACTATGTGGAACAGAATAGTGAAATAGTGCCAAATTTTCTGTAGATTGATCACAGAAAAATTGAGTCATTCCAGAGTAGGGAAGACTGTTTCTGGATGTAGTCAGTGAACTACAAGTTCCAAAGGAAATAGGTTTCAAGTCATCTCTTTCTTCTACTCTTAATATTAGAGAGAACACACGTTCCAGGAGCCCTCAAGTGCAAGAGTTCTCTGGCCAAGGCCCTTGGGTGATTTCAGATTCAAAGAGACATTTGGAAGCAGCTTGGCAGCACTCTGTAAAGCATTTGCTCTTTAGCAAATGGACTGAGTTACTGCACATCACTGTCACCGTGGCACAGGGCTACAAGTTAATCAAGTGACAAAAGAAGAGAGAAAGAGACAAGCAAGTACTAGCATCGACTCTCCTCTGCGTAGTCCACTCCCAGGCTTCAAGGTGTCCCTTACGACATTAGCAAACAGAACAATGGTTTCATTGCAACCCCTTTCAGGCAATGGTCCTTAAAACATCTTGCAGGTGACAGGATGCATTAGTCACTCGACAGTGTTGAACTGCAACTAAAGTGCTCCATAAATGTCACACTGATAGGGCCATCCTGAAATAGCAAGGCATCAACTAAACGTAGGCGACTCAGTCTTCTCTGTATCAAATATGAGGCGTAACAAAGGTTTGGAGAGTTTTAGCTGAATAAATATTTCTATAATGCCTTTTTTGTTTCAAAGAACTAACACATTCATATGCATGAAAATTAATACTCCCCTATCACAACTTTTTCATGTAGAGAAAACTTCTTAAAATAACTTTCCAAAACCTGTCAAAACTAACCTAGTTTTGTCAAAATAGTCAATACATTTGTGAACTCATTTTGCCTTTCCTTTCACCATTTACTGTAAAATTTTTCATTATTCTTTTTAGCTGAAATGCATTTTTTTGATCCCAGACAATGCTAACGTTCTATCACCCCAGACAATGTTTGTAATGACCAAACTAGTGGATGATTAAAGAGCCACTGACACATTTTTGCTAAAGGATGAATAAAATCAGAAGCAAATTTCCAAGCCCAAACTGCTAAAATAGAGGGAAGTTATATTTGGTAGTCATGGCCTTCTCATAAAGCAACTATATGATCTTTACTAATGATTTTAACTTTCTAGGAGTCATGCCAGGCTGGGCTAGATTTCCCAGTCTTCCAGAGAAGTTGGAATGGCTGTTAGTTCCTGCAATAAATATTTCTTAAAAGTCTGAGGGTAAAGTCACATCGTGGATTTGAATTTCTCTATTTACCCACGAATATGACATACCGTATCTCTTCAATGTCACCTTCAGACCAGAGGTTCCAAAGCTGAAACAGGAGACTTTTATTTGGCTTCCCTTATACTTGTGACAAGTGAAAAAAA